AACTTTACAGTATAATAAATCAAATATGTTACTAATATTAGACAAATTATCAAATTTGTCTAATACTATATCTAATAACAATATCAATTGTTAGTGAATTAACAAAAACGAGTAGGCATAATCGATTACGTACCTTAACGTATCAACTGCCTAACGCATACGGTATAAGGACCGCGGAGTTCATATTGCCTGACATTCTGAATAAGATGCCTGTGCAGCTCCATGTAGAAATGTTAATGAATGTTAGGAAATGCACACAAGTATTAAACAAGTATTACTTGGGTATGTAAAATTGTAACAAAAGCGATGCATTCTCCCTTCGCTTTATAGGCTTTTTGAAAGGAGTCTTATTGATAAGTATAGACTGAGTATTCTGTGTATTTTAAATAAATAATTAAAAATATATATACATTCCACACTCACCGCTCCTACTTCAGTTCACTAGAAAGTCTGGAAAACTTCATCCTTATGTCGTCGACTCACCACACAGTTTCACGAAACGCTTTGCGTCGTCACTCATCATAACTTGGTGCGTACGGAAAAGGCATGAAATACACGATCAGTTTCCATAAAACTTTAATTTGGGGCTATTCAAAGCTAGAATGAATAGGCATTTATCATGGCTGCATCGTCGTTTAACGTCAGATGTGAAGTGACCAAACCGTCTTCTTCTTCTTTCTGTTTTCAAAAATATATTTTAGGTATAGTAAAGTAAGAAAATTTTGAGTGAATACATTTGGGGGGTGACCAAGCAACAGAGCAAGAAATTGTAATTTCCTCAACAGCCATTAACGAGTTTACCATCCATTGTACGGCTTGCGGAGCCCCGTAGTTGAGTAAAAGATTAATGATCGTTTTCCATCATTGCCTCGGCGATGGCCTGTCACTGTGATGTCAATATAACAATGAGTGTCTTCGCGAGGCGGCAGTGTAAAGCGGCGGGCGATCATTAGCTAATCGCTATAATTTGAACCTTGCCAACATCGTTGAAAATTACAATACACACGCGGATAATTTGTAACTCACATCCAGCTATTGTAAAGCCGGTAAACTTTTACTGTTCAATATGCCATTACTCTCCAGGGTGCGTGCTTTAGTAGTATCTGTGTTTTAGTAATATCCCTTTGAAATAATAGTTCGAATTGCGTTTCTACAATAAATTTATTAGAGCCATGCCGATTAATTATCGAATCGTTCGACAAATAAACTTACAAAATTTAATTTTTACACACGTAAAGCACACGAGCCATTACACAAACGGTGCCGAGGTTACCATTTATAACATAATGCAAAATAATGACTCGCTTCGTCATTTTCCAACCGATAAATGGAAATACAGAACATGTTATCTTATTACGACGAACATGGAGCTTTTGTAGACGACTATTAATTTTGTTAAATTATTCTTTGTCATCAAATAAAACACCTTTGCATAGACGTAAAGGGTTGATTCACGAAATCGTATAGCTGTGTGCCTCGAAGTATGGCACTCGACGCCTGGCTCTGTTGCATTTTTTGGTGGCGGAAAAGTACGCTCGTATGTCAATCGCCTTATTCAATTAAGACCTTGCACAGACTTCTTTAAACATTTCGTTTACGTTTACTAATATATAAATACTACATAATATTTAAATAATTATATCACTTACGGATTTCTACTTGCTACTACGATATTTCTTACCGTCCTTTTTTGCTTGTTTTTACATCAGGCATAAAGTAAAATATCTTATCATGTTAACATTTAGTGATAATTATTTAGTAAGTAACTAGGAAAATACTTTAATGTAAATAATATAGTACTTGTTATTACTCATAAAATATCATGTTAATTTATCTATACGTACGTTAGTTAAATACATGTGAGAGCTTATTACAAATTAAATGCAATAAAAAAGACTAAAACCGTTATGTTTATATATATGTTCAGATTTCGGCTAATATTCAAATTTCCTATTTACGAGGTTTTCTTATACTTAATATTTAAGGTATGAGCTAGCTAGTTAGCTACAGAGAGTATGGAAGGACCGTAACATCGCGTATATAACCAAAATTGTTGGGCTCTATCATGTTTTCCATATTCAACTACGGAGCGGAAACGTGGACACTAAAAAAGGTGAAACGTGACCGCATTGACACCTTCGATGTGGTGCTGGAGGAAAATGTTGCATATCCGTTGGACTGATATTCGCACCAAAGACTCAGTTCTGCGGGGCCACCTTAAATATGTCTCCGTAGGATACTAGATATCTTTGGTCACATTGCCAGGAAAGAAGGACACAACTTGGAACAGTTAATGGTTACCGAACGTATCGACAGTAAAGTGAGTTTCCAGAATGCACTCCATCATGCAAAGACCGCCACAGATGGCACAGCGTCGTCACGCAGAAACTATTTCCGCGGGGGAGTCACGACCCTCTGTAATGACGATTACGACGCGACGAAGAGGAGATATTTAAGGTTTATATTACTAGAAGACGGTTCAAAGTTCATGTTGTAAAACCAAGCATGCGCTATTAATCGAATAAATATTACTAAAGTTTTTTTCATTATTTTTATATTAAGGGATGGGACGAACAAGTCGTGCGCCTGATGGTAAGCTATACGCCTATCCATACCAGTTGCAGTGCCACTCAAGAGCTTTAAATCGCTTAGATCTGTGGGGCACTGCCACTGCGCCCGTCACCCTGAGACATAAGTTGACAAGTCCCGTGTGGCTGTAATTTCACCAGCATTCTCAAAACTGGAACACAGTAATGCTGACATACTGCTTGGCGGTACTACCCTGGACGAACTCTTTCACAAAGCTCTACTGATACTAAACTTCTTTATTTCTTAAAATTCTTAAAAATATTTTTCCACAATTGTTACGCAAGCGCAATGAAACTGTTTTTCGGATTCAAATTTTTTCAAACAAATCAACATTCACAAGTCCCACGTTCACAGGTGACCCAGACGGTAAAGATATCAATCAGTATTTCCTCTGATGAAAAGTCTCAAGTAGTAAACATATGAAAGTAAACATATGCCGTATTTACTACTTATGACCTAGCGCCTCTCAAGCTGAGTCCATGGGTTCGGATTCGGGCTCGCACCTCTGACTATTTCGGAATTTATGTGTGAAATTTAATTTGAAATTTATTTTGAGCTTTTCCGTGAAGGAAAACGTCGCGATGAAACCTGCGCGTCGAAAAAGGTTCACAACCCTCGGTAAACGTGTGAAGTTGTGTCAGCGCGGCAGACTATGGCCTAAACCCTCAGCTGTGAGGAGACCCGTGTCCAGTAGTGGGATATATAAATGGGTTGATGACGACTTTGTTGCTAATTTCCTTTAATTAATAAATTTAATTTATTAAATATTCATACGGTTGACAGTCAACCGTGACCATGTCCATGATCTGTAAAGGGCCCGAAACGTTGGTTTGTTTGAAAAACAAATTCAGAAGAATAGTTTCATTTCCTATGTGTAGCAATCGCGAAAACCTAAGAACTCGATAATTAAATATTTTTCAAAACGTATGTTAAGTAAATTAGGATGTTCTTTGGTAGTTTAAAAATAAGGTATTTAAATAAATACTATAGTGAAAATAAAAATAATAGTGAAACAAAAACTTGGATGATATAAATCTACAGTAGTGACCCGTTTAGCTTTTGTAAATATTGTAAAATATTATAAATATACATATACAAAATGTTTATTTGGACAGAGCAACCTCTAGAGTTTCTTTCTTTCGTATTCATCTCAGGGGAATCTGACTTTCGTATGAGTAGTTAAATCAATGTGGCGATTTCAAGTGTAATTTGTTTTATCTGGTACGATTATGTGGGTTTGAATTAGCATAAAAACTTTTGCGGATCACTCACTAGTTTCATGAAGGAAATTTTCTGGTTCGGTCCCAGTAGTGGTAGTAATAATTATCCAACATTTTTTTTTTAAATTCTGCGTAACTTTAATCCTTAGTATTATATCTGTACAGTCATATAATTAAGTACAGTTAGATAGTATGTAGATATAACTTTTGTTTTTGTTCGCTCAAATATTTTTATTTGAACTCTGGGATTGAAATAAACGATAAGCGTTATGTAGCGAATTAAGATTTTAATTACTTTTAAGTCTTTTATTTGAGAAAACGTTGAAAGTTAGCAATGGCTTGATTAAAGTTGTGGGTAATCTTATTATAGGAATTAAGCACCTTTAAGGAAAATAATATGAAATCTGATCAAACAAATTGCTTTGTAATGTATTATTCTTAAAAAAAAGGTTAATATTGAGCAATGTGTATGTAAAGTAAATGATCACGATTTTCGTGCGTATAAAACTTCCCAAACTTTTTGGCTCACCGTCCACTTAAGCAAGATAAAAGTTTCAACGCCCGCCACCATAATTTAACTGCCTCCGTGGCCGAACGGTTACCATGCCGGACGCAGAGTTTTTCCCAGGTTCGATTCCCGGGTCGGGAGAAATATTTTTATGGCCTACATATATTTCCATCGTGAGTGTGGGTGTAATTTGTGGTTGTCTATGTGTGTTGTATATGTGTGTCTATGGCACCCTCGACACAGCGTTTCCCTAGTGCGGGGCCATGTTGAGTGAGTGTGTGTGTGCGATACACGTGTTTTTATATTAACTTAACACAAAAAAAAATTACAAGGAATAAAATTATATTTTATATAAATAATTATTTTTTAATTTCGTTAGCACCCCTCAACTTGTTTGCAACCCAATTGTTTACGACGTCCCTTTTCTGCGCAAAAGTTTTCTGGAAACTGGCGATGATAGCGTGGGATACCTAAACTTTATTCCATCGTTGTGTTCACAATGTCCCTACCTAACGTAACGTAACATAACGAATATATTGCATACCTCTTTGTCATAGTTTTAAATATTAATTACTAAATCTTTTTATAAGCTCTTCACCCCCTAGGACTCTTCAGCGCCCACTAGGGACCACTTTGGGAAACTGTGGTATAAAGCATGAAATATCTTTCTTTGTCTTTTGCAGAAACATGGTTCCCGCATGAAATGTTCAGCTTGCAAGATTGTAGCGCACACAGCATGCATCGACATCTTAATGGATCGACTGCAGTTTACCTGCAAACCTACATTCCGCGATGTGGGCGTGCGCCAGTACCGAGAGCAGACAATCACACATCACCACTGGGTTCATCGACGGTCCGAGAAGGGCAAGTGCAAGGCGTGTGGAAAGGTGAGGGGCAATGTAATACTTTTTACATTAATGCAATACAAATTGTCTCTATTGCACGCAAAAACAAAATACGGAAACAAACAGAAGACAAAAGACAGAGTATAAAAGGAGTAGGTACTTATTCAAATTCCACAAGAAATATGCGTTACAGGGATTAATTACTGCGAGGAATTGTAAATATTGTCAGTTCATTCTTTTAAGAAATATTTAGTCATACGTTCCGTTGCAATAATTCATACATATTGTACAAATTGAAAATGGTCTCTCTCGCGTGAATGTTCGTCTGTTGTTTTTGTTGTTTGTTTGTCTGTCTGTTTATTACGGTCTCATAAAATAATTACATTAGTCAATCTACTAATGAAACCATAATGAAATTCATTAATTGAGGACCCTCTAAAATTACTTTATTTAAAGGTAGTAATAAAGCTCTGACAAGAAATTTAAAATGAGCGTATTTATTAAATTAACGAAAACTTTTTCAAATGAAAATTCAACCGAAAGTTATGAAAAATCTAGCTGACGTAATACTACTTCCTGTACCAACTTAATTTACATTTTATCTAAAACTATTGTTAGTCATTTTCAATGTAAATCACCTATTATACATTTTATAAACTTTGGTGCTGTTAATGTATTCCTTTGTACGGAAATATATCTGTTACCACATAGGACATACACAGTACGTTAGTTTTTAGATTGGTACGTTGTTTCCTATGTTTTATATACTATTCTGAAGTACAGTTTTTTTCGGACAATTGTGATTTGAATATTATCTTGATTGTTTGCTAAATACGATTAATTTTGTCGGAATATTAATATTCATTCATTTAGTATTATAGTTGGCTTTAGTCCACTGTAATTGAATTTGTTTTTCGGAACCTTCATTAATTCCCTTTAATAAGTTTGATATGCGGAGATTTATATCGCGTTAAATTTATATGACAATAACTTTTATACCTAAGCTGCGTAAGTATTTTCATATCGACTCACCAACGTAACTAAGAGAACTCTGGGAATATTGTTACTTGTGTCAGTCGGAATATTAGCAGGCTTTCTTCGCATCGCTTTGGCGAATATTCCGGGCGCAATTAGCGGGGAATTGAAAGTGTTTACCGAAATAACACGCTATAACTAACTTTCAATATTTATATATTCGTATAAATTTTGTTGTAATATTGATTAATCATTATCACCATCATTAACTATAAATACTAAAAACTATAGTGAAACATAAACTTTATACTAAAGGTTAATTATACAACTTCTACGTACTCGATGACAAAAATCCGTTGCAGTGACCCGTTTAGCTCTTGCAGGTAGTCTCGGTCTATGATGTTTGAAATAAATATGTTAAATGATAAATGCGTACAAATGTTTATTTATAAAGAGGAACCCATAGAGTTTCTCACTCATTCTTAGGGGAAACTGCATTTCGAAAGAGCAGTAGAGTTTAATTAATATGACGATTTCAGGTGTAATTTACTTTCCTATGAATGAATATTACTTCAGTTTCAATTTGAATTTAACTAATTAATATTATACTGCCGAGCACAGGTCTCATCTGAGGAAAGGGGTTTCAAATGGAAAAAAGTTATTGATACTGCATCGGCAAGTACTTATTTTAGTCGCGTGACTCAAAAATGTTAGCGAGCAGTTAGCGGTTAGCTATTACATTTTTTTTAATACTAAAAAACATCACGTAATATGTTGCTCTGATCCCAAAGTAAATAGCTAAAGCACTTTTGTTATGGAAATTGGAAACATTGACGGTACCACAAACATCTTGACCTGAGACAATTACAAAAGTTAGTTTTTTATAGCGGCAGGGGATCGAACCCGGGACCACGGGATTGGCGTCACCACGAAAACCTGTGTGCAAACCACTCGGCCACGAGGCCGTCTTATCGATGATGCCGATACCATAAACAGAGTAAATAAAACGTGAACCATAATATACGATTTACTCAGATTTCATGTTCCGAAGTGTGATATAACAACCTGCCATCGTGCCAGGAAAAACCTGTTCCGCAATTGTTGACTAATAGACAAAGCCATTAAATGAAAAGTCCCTGTGCCCGTGGTACTTAATTGAGTCCTTAATAATTTACACAGCCAACCGATAGTGCCTTCGTTTACCGCAGTCGTCCTTTAAGACTAATGAAGAAAGTTTTCTAAGGGAAAAAATCTGTAGTATAAAGTTGTACGCATAATAAATTTAAAGTTTGCCGGTAGCTTTTGATGAATAGAGTAGAGTAATAAGTCCTGTGAATATTATTGTATAGGTACCTACTTACCTACATATATGTACTCGTAGGTAGTAGGCTCAACTAGAGATAATGTGCGAGTGAGACGCACTGTAGTGTTGCGACTCCAGTTTTACCCTGGACGACACGGCACAGATATTGCGCTCAGCTTGCAATTAAAACCCTAGGAAACTGCTGTTATTAGAGAAGGGTGAGCTATAGAACCGATCAGCAGAATATATGGGCTCATTAATTTAGCAAAACCGTTTTGAAGAAGTAATTTGTGCAATATCTAAAGTTAATTTCCTGTTGAATTGTGAAAATTATAAAAAGGCGCCCGTTATTCCAAATTATCGCACAATAATAACCAGTGATCGGAACCGAAGGAGTTAATTTAGCTAAACTAAAGAGTAACGTGGACATTACCTTTTGGATTTCTCTGAACAGATTATATTTGAATATGCGTATTATCTATTGAAATTTGAGTAGGTACATTAGCGACAAATTATTTTTTCCTACTAAGTATTTGTTACAAATTCTTATCTATCATAAGCTAGCAACTGTCATTATAGTATACTAACCTAACACAACAGTCTAGTCAAAATTATCAC